TTCATAATATAATTTCTTACTGGTAATATGACTGTTTTGTACAGAATTACTGTATTAATTGCCGAAATTTCGGAAAAATGGTTGCGGTCTTCAAATGCAAATTTAAGATGGTTAAAATATTATATCTTTCCCCGCAGTCATTAAACGACAATCAGATCGCTTCAGTTTTCCACATGATGTAGAAGATATATTTAAAATGATGAAGTCTGATTGATATTTGAGTGTTAGATGTTTAGTATCATTTCTTGCTGGTGATAATGGCGGATTGGCGTAGTAGAACTATAATATTCAAAACTGATGATGGTGAAACTTCGAGTAATGTGTTTCTGTCTTCAGATGTCATTTTGAGTTGGAAAAGCAGTGTTGGTTTTTTGAACTTATTGATGCATGTCAAGAAGTTAATTTAAGAATGATTTTTTATGTATATGAAAATAAATTTGTCTTGGAACAAAAATCTCTTATTGAAGCATTTATTAAAATATTAAAAAAACATTTCGATGAAAATGATGATAATCAACAACATTTTAAACAAATGAAAAAACTTATGAACAGTAATGTTCAAAAAATAATTTTTTATGTAGCTGAATAGCTTGAAGATGTGTGTGTGTGTGTATATATATATATAACTTATCCTTCCATGAAAAAAGAGATTGATGGAAAAATGTCTAATATACAGAAGAATCAATGTATGTTTACAAATTGTATACACTTTAAAAAAATTGTTCTTTTTATTTTAAATGCTGTGAAAGATTTTACCCATGTCATCATTGTCATAATAAAGATCATTTTTGCAATAAAAAAGTCAATCCAAAAGATATTTCCTGGATAATGTGTAATTATTTTTTGGTTGAGCAAGGATTTCAACAGCATTGTATCAAGTGTAAGAAAACGTTGGCTGACTATTTTTGTGGCAAATGTAAGGTTTACGATGATTATTCGAAAGATCCTTATCATTGTGTAAAATGTGATGTTTGTAGAATTAAATTACATAGATCATTTCATTGTGATGGTTGTGGATTGTGTTTCGAAAAAGAAAAAGGAAAAAATCAATCTCATATATGCAAAAACGAACATGATCAATGTATGATATGTTTCGAAAATACATTAACTGGAATTGGAATGTTAAAATGCGGACACAAAATAAATTTTGATTGTTTGACACAATTATTATTAAAAGGATTTTCTAATTGTCCGATATGTAGAGCTGATTTATTAACACCAACATCCATACCATCAATTAAACGAGTGTCGTACCAGACCCGTGTCTGGTACAACCTGATACTAGAGTCAATAAAATACAAAAAACATGAATTTTTTTATGATATGAATTATTATATGAAGTATTCGATAAAGCATTTACAAATTGATATATATAAGTTAATTTTAAGACATTTTTCTAAAAAATGATTCCATTGTGTTGTTTAAATTAATTTCTTGGTTGAGTTCTTTTAATTGATCAAGTAATTTTTTTCTTCTCTCAAATAGATCAATTAAAAAATTTGCTTCTTCCTCATTTTTACATATGATATTTCCTTTTATAAGTGAATAAAATTGTCTATTAACACAATTTTGTTCGGTGTTAAAAGATAACATATTACAAGAGTATTCAGGATTTTTATTGATTTCGTTGTTGTATTCTTCAAGTTTCTATTTTTGGTCGGACGTCCTCTCTTTTTTTTATACTTTCAGTAACATCCATTAATTGAATTTTTTTCCCTAAAGATTCATTAACATTATGAGGAGGACTTGTAAATACTAGATTGGGATGAGCAAATACTTGATCTTGGTTCATTTATTCAGGAGGAGGAGATGTATTTCCTTGATTTTGAATCACAGTATTATTATTAGGAGGAGTTGTAAATCCTTGATCTTGATTTTGAATCACAGTATTATTATTAAGAAGTTGTAAATCCTTGATCTTCATTAAATTCAACGTCTTCAAGTTCTCTTAAAATAGTGCGCCGTGTGGGATATTGTAATTTAAGAAAGACATCGTGGTTGGTGACATCATACTTGTAGTTGAGATTGGAGACATGATATTCATAAGAGTTGTATTTTTTTTAGTAGGAGAATTTTTTGTTGAATATACATTATTAATTATGGGTAAAAGAGATGATTTTTGAATATTATCATGATAAGTATTCAAAGGACTTTTACCATCACTCTTTTCTGCTGTATCTTCATCCATGGGTTGTGGAGAATCTGGTGATGATGATGCACGATTTTGGTTTTCGATGCAGCTTGTCTCAGAATTTGTCTCGTTATTTGTCTCAAAATTTGCCCAATTCGGTATGGGTGTTTGTAGAGAAGCATATTCATTGTTCTCTTGAAATTGATTTTCTTCTTGATTTTTTTTTGCTTTTAATTTTTTTTCTTTATTTCTTTTTATAAACATGTCGAAACGATTTTTGTTTCTTTTATCTTTCAAATAAAGTAAAAAATCTTCATATGACACGTCTGATGCCATTTTTTCTTTATAATAAAGAAATTTTTAACGAGTAAGCTCTTATACACTACTCGAATTTGACATAGAAAATTGTATTTCCTTTCATTTAATCTATTTATGGTATGATTACCCTTGATTGAACTTGCTACATACCCTTGGTTGTACTTGGTACAATCTGATACTATTTTTTGCTTAAATTTAGAATATAACCTTGACTTTTCAAGTTGATTGACATTACTCAGTGTCTAGAAGTTACTAATTGAGATACTTTGAATTGTTTTTATTACTATATATGGTTATTATATGCATAACGTTGAACGGTTCATATTTGCATTGCTTAAATCTTTTTTGGTTTTTTAATACAAAATTTGTAAGAAATAAGTTTTTTTGCAAAAAAATCATTTATTGCACATATATAAAAGACTCGTTGTTTGAAATTGTATACATTGAAGAACTAACGTGTCATATATTTGTTAAGTTTGTCTTATAAAATGGAATCACAAGGATCAAACGTAAACACATCAGACATTTCAAGTCCAATACATCTGAAGATGAAAGTCCAAACACATTGTATTATCTCAAAGAAAATTTTATTACATAGCTGATGATGATGATGATGTAAACATCGAACTTAGCGAAAATTATAAAAATTGGTGAATTTCGAGAACAAATACTTCACTTGCAGAGTGAATTAGAAGAATTGAAAGAAAGCTAACGCAAAATTAAGCAAAAATTAATAATAATTAATGAAGAAATTCAAACTTTAAAAGATGAATTGAAAAAGGAAGAGCAAAATGAAGCAATCCATATTGAATATTTAAAAGATGTTCAAGTTTTACAAGATGAATGCGATCGTTTAAACAATTCGTTAACTGATTATGAAAAAATAAAAGAAAATACCCAAGTAAAGTTAATATTAGCACAAGCTAAGTTGGATGAAGAACTTCAAAGTGATGAAATATAGTTCATATAAAATTAATATAACTCATCAAAATTTTTTCAGACGATTAACATGCAGTTGTTTTTCATCTTCAGATATGTCAACATCTAAAAAAATAAATTCTAAATAATCTTTACATTTTCTGCTTACATTTCCTTTCTTTTTTTTTCTTTAGTTCATTTAATTTTATATCGTGTTCCAATTGTCTTTGTCTTGATTTGACGACTTCTTCAAATTTAATTGATTCTTTTTCAATAAAGTCTATCATTTCATTGCAAACGTCTTTCCAAATGTGGCTGTATATTTTATTATATTTTCTATAGCGTTGTTTATTTTTTTCTTGACGTCTTATGTATCGTAATCTTCTTTCTTCTTGGCATTTTCCCATTTTTACTTTGTTTGCTTTAACCGTCTTTTTCTCACTGTTTTCGCGATAAGTGTATGGTTGCAAGTGAAGTAGATGAAATAAATGCTCGAATTTTATAGATCAAATTTTTGCGCAAATATAACCTTGTGACCCACAAACATACTGTTGTTGCGTTTACTTGTTTCACATATGTTAAAACTTGCGATTTTGTCATAATATAAACCGCATTGAGTATTCAATATATTAATGTGGTGAAAAAATATTTGCAAATAGATTTTATAATACAAATTATATTTTCAATTTTTGTTGAAGCTAGCAGTATCAGAATCCATCATCACCCATAAGATAATTGCCTAATAGATGTGATGACAGCAAACGGATTTTGTTTGAGATATTATTAGTATTCTCTCGAGTTTATAAAATTCTGTTTTGAATTTAGGTGTGATTCTATGTATTAAAACATGTGATTTTTATCATAACACAAATCGCTTTGATTATTAAATACATTAAAGCGGTGAAAGCAATTTTTTGCATCTTTGTTTAACGTAAAACGTATATTTTCGATTTTGTTGAAGGTAGTGTCAGATTGTACCAGTTACAGGTATTGAAGATAATTGCTTAATAGATGTGATGACAGCAAACGGATTTTGTTTGAGATATTATTACTATTCTCTCGAGTTTACAATTCTGTTTTGAATTTAGGTGTGATTTTATGTATTAAAACTTGCGATTTTTGCCATGAGACTATTCGCTTTGATTATTAAATACAATAAACAGATGAAAACAGTTTTTGTATCTTGCTTTAATAAAAAACGTTCATTTTCGATTCTGTTGAAATCAGTGTCAGATTGTACCAGTCACAGATGTTTAATTGATATTTAATTGATATGATGACAGTAAATGGGTTTGTTTGTGTTCTCGAATGTTCAAGGGCAGCTAGCAAACAAAGACACTGTGTACTGAGATGTAGATACGAACGTTCAAGGTGAAACGGAAACAAAGGGTATTTTGTTGTAACGAGAGTATTTAAGAACGCGTAAATATCACAACTGCATCGAAGTTTCTCAAGCTCTGTTGAAGTTATCTTGTTGGAAATCAGTTGGAATCTTGTTGGAAATCGTTGACCACTCTATATTTGTTGAGGAAAAACTTGTACAGGTAAGAATTTAATATCATTTGCTTTTATGTACGAGCTAATTTTTTAATACCACAATTGCATTAACGCTTTTCTAGTTACGCTAAAGTCTGTTTATTGGAGACTCTTCAAATACTATCGCAAAGACTTTACGTTGTTTGAAATAAAGGTAAGAATTTAATACTACTTGCTTTTATTTAGGAGCTAATTTCTTAATATCACAATTGCATTAACACTTCTCTAGCTACGCTAAAGTCTGTTTATTGGAGACTCTTCCAAACACTATTCCAAGGACTATACGTTGTTTGAAATAAAGGTAAGAATTTAATATTATTTGCTTTTACATACGAAGTATGATATTATTTATGGAAAAAATTATAGATGATCACACGGTATAGAAAACGATTAATGGGTCATTTGAAAGAGTATTTGCATCATACTGATGAAATATCATACTGGTTTTTACTATACAATGTTATTGTAAAGACGTATATCAATTACCCACAGAATTTTTAATATGGGTGAAAAAACAATTTATTATAAGACAATATGAAAAGAACTGATATGATATTAAATATCTTGATAAAGTATTAAATATTTTCATTTGTATAATCCAAAAAATTAGAGTGCGGGTTTTAAAAAAGTATAAGAGATTTTTATGTTAATTTTTTGCTAGGAAAAATTATGGTCTATTTCGAAAAAAATAGAGTTATGAGCTTAATTAAAGAACTCTGCGAAAGTAAATTTCAGAACTGTCAAAAGTGCAATTATTGTGTAAGGTTCAAGTTAACCTTAGCAAGATTAATACTGGACTATATTGAAGCTGATTTTTTTCATTTTATTCGTGGAAAGATACAAAGAAAGGATTATTTTCGAATTAAAGACAAATTTCTATTAAAATATTGCAAAAGGAAATATGACTTGTACTTTATTAAACCGGATGGATTGTTGAATAAAATTTATACGCATGTAAAAAAGAGGGAAATAATGATATTGAAGAATATGACATTGATATTGAAAAAGAAGAAGATAAGAATAGGAAAGAGGAAGAATATGACAATGATATAATTGTTTTAATAAAAAAAGGTCAGAAACGAAAATTAATTTATGACAAAAAGGTATGAAGCGAGTTAAAAAAATTAATGATATTTTTATTAGTAATTTTTGGAAATTGAATAATGGAAAGACGTTATATCAAAATTCATGTGCTGTTATAGACCATAATGGATATATTTTTGTCGTGTTGGACATTTTGGTGGACATGGTTAATTTTATTATAATCAATATAAAACCAGAGTTGATATTAACTCTAACTATACAATGTATATAAATAAATATGCTATTAAAATCAATTGTTTCATTTTTAAATGGTTTTATTTTTTATTGTTTTATTAGTATTTTTTGCAGTTAACATAGTCAGAAAGAAATTGGTTATATTTGATAGCGTTTTTGTAGATTTTACCCATTACATATCCTCCAAAGAATTAACGATTATTATAAATTTTTTTTATAGTTCAACGATGTGGATTTTTTAACTATTCAAGTATTTGCCATTTTATTGAAGGAATATCCTGAACACCCATTGTTATATCCGTTGCATTTTGTATGCAGTTTTTTATTAAAATTGAAAAAAACACCGTCAAAAATGAAAATTCTGAAAATTAAACCAATTGTAGAAGATTTAAAATATTCACTTTATTTTAAATCTTTTTCAAATGATGAAAAATTCAAAATCGTCTACAAAAATGTAGATTTTATTGAATTTTTGTATGGTACAGTAGGGATAATACGTTGTTGGGAGAATAAAAACGCCGAACATCTTTATTTAATTTCTACTTATTGGTTACCCAAAGTATATATTCAACATAAAAAAATATTATGATTTAATGAAAATTTTTGTTGCAGATATCATTATTTTAATGTAAATAAACAAACGAATAAAATTTTATACGATTATTTCAACATTTATTTGCACGATTCTCAGATTGTAAAAAAAGGTACTTTTCATTTAGGTTTAGAGTGTAATGGTTTATATAGATATTTTTTTAAATTTGTTAGTGATGTAAAAATTTATATATCTTGTAAAAAATTTTTCAATACAATTGAAAAAAATAAAAGAATTAATGTAAATAAAGATGTAATTTATAATTTTTTAATAGAAAACGAAAGTTATATGGATTATGCATGACATATACTATCTTGTAAATAGTGTAATATATTGTTTCATGATTTTATAACTTTACTTGTTATAAAATGTAAACAATTAGAAAAACCTAATTTTACATTAACAACATTACTAATTTAACATTTGAACAATTGGGGTTAATATTTGATAGAGATCCTAATTTTCATAATTCAACTTGCAATGATATTTTATTTATTTTAAAAAAATAGTCTTGATAGGATTATTTTTTCCAAATTATAATGTAATAAATACAAATTTTCTATTTTTCTATTTTCATTCAACATTGTCTTTAAATATCCACTACCATTTTATTTGATTTTTTATTGATCCTCTTATGCAATAATTTTCCTTTTCTTTTCTTTTGCCCATTTTTTGGTTTCACCAGAAAAAAATTATTCCTTATTAATTTATCATTTAAATATTTTTTTAATAAGTCCGCCACTTACAGCTGGAACAATTCCTTTTAATGCTAATCCTGCTAACCCGCCAAAAATTCTTCCCTTTTGAGCTTTTTCCTATATTTTCTTTTTAATTTTTTCGTTTCTTTTATACAGATAAATAAGTAAATAAATAAATAGTAGCAATTCAATAAATATATGCATGGAAAGCAATATCTGTTTATTTATGCAGAATTAGTACAATTGTTATAACATATATATATAGATTTTTAACACATTTTATTTTGAAATAATATTTTTAAAATTACAAAGAATGGGAAGAGTCAAGAGGAGGAAGACGAGGAGGATTTATTAAGTTTTCTAAAATTCACAATACACTTAAAACTGGATTTAAAAGCATTAACTAAAAGCATTAGCGTTAAAATCTTTAAAAGCTGCCAGAGCTATAGAAAAATCAGGAATACTGGGTTCTAAAGCAAAAATTTGTAAATTCACCCTTAATGGATAAAGCATTTGAAATTGCAAATAATCAATTGGGTAAAGGTGCATATAGAGGGCAAATGTATGTAAGGGTTAAAAGAAGAAGAGGTCAAAAGGGGAATATTACCATTGTTAGCACCAATGGGATCAATTTTTAGTTGAAATCAATTTGTGTACATAATTAATAAATAAAGAAAACATTTAAGTAAAAAGTATTTTATTCAATAAAAATATTATTTATTTACAAAATTACTTTTTACTTTTTTTCCAATATTCTTTACCATAATTAGTAAATATTTCTTGGTGTGGTTTAATGTTTTTTGATGATTTTAAAAAATAATTAAATTTTTTCCCAAGTAAAAACGAGTTGTTTTTAAAGCGCGAGATTCGAGCATCATTTGTATATCTTAGTGCGCCATCAGTTGTTTCATTAGCATCAACACATATTCCTTTATCGCAAATTACATATTCTGCTAAACCATCACCAATATTTTCTAATTACTTGACTTGAGGTAAGATGTCTTCCAGTATAATTTGCAATTTTTGGAATTGTTTTTTCTATGCAAATAATCCTTTACCCCCGTTTGAAATGTTTGAAGTTTTAATTCTTAAATTAAATTTTTTCCCCAAATGAATACAGCATAAATTGGTCATTGAAGTTTTTCTTCGACATCTTACATTTTTTAATGTAATTCCATCACATTGTTGTACTTTTCGTATACTTTTTTCTTTTAGTAAATCAATCTTATTCCAGCATAAAGTCAATATTTGTTTGAATGTTTGAATCAATTAATTTCTCAATTTTAAAACATATATCAGAATGACTTGATTCGAGATTACATATTTCTTTTAAAAAAAAATTCTTTTTAATAAACACATCATATACCTTACAGAATTATCATCATTATCATCTGATTTCCAATCTTGAATTGATTGTGGAAATACGAAAGGTGAGAATAAAATACATTTATCATTATCCAGTATTTGATAGGTACAATTAGTACTGGCTCTTTCATTATTTTTTTATTTTTTTATTTTTCATTTTTATTTAAGAATAAATGAACTTCTATACAACATAGTGTTTCTCCAGCCATTTTATTAATTAATTTTAGCAATGGGTAATTGTTAGCCATCCAACGATACACAGCTTATAAAATTAAATCTAAACTGCATGTATAAACGTTCCGAAAATGAAATTGATTAAGTGTATGAATTCACTTTTGAATTTCATTAAGATTTTAACGCTAAATGCTTTTACTTAATGCTTTTAAATCAGTTTAAATTAATTTTAGAAAATAAAGAAAAAAAAAGGAAAAATAAAAAGAAAAAAAGCCATGTCAAATAAAATAAAGAAAAATAAAGGAAAATAAAAAAAAAAGCCAAGCCATGTCAAATAAAAATAAAGAAAAAATATGAAATAAAAAAGAAAAAGCCGCCATGTCAAAAAAATAAGAAATTGAAGAAGAAAAAGAAAATGGAAGATAATTGAATAAATAAAAAGTTTAGTATATTTCATTCAAAATTGGTGAAAAATTGAATACATCAAAAAAATAAAATTAATTGATTTACAATATAAAAATACCATTTTACATTAAATGGTGAAGTTAAGGATCACATACATCAAATTTTATAAAAAAAGAAAAACAATTTCAACAATTTACCAGATTTTTGAAACAATTTTCAAAAATATTACAAAATTTGCTTAATATAGCAAAATTATCTGTAAATTCTAAGAATGATTTAGTTAGATTTTTTTTTGAAAAAGCCCCGTTAAAACCTTTTTCGACATCGTTATTACCCTTAAAGGAATATACTATACAGAGATTCTTAGATACTTTTGAACATAATATACAAAGTAATATTTCAGAATCTCTAAATAATGACTGGAAAACTAATGTATGTATTATGATTGTTCCACATCAATATAAAAATGAGAAAATCTCATTTAGGAAAAAAAAGACCAATTCGGAAAAACAAAACAAAAAACTTATTTATAATTTAAATCCTGATGATGATAGTAGGGGGGTGGTAAAACAAATCATCCAGTGTTGAAACCTCAAAGAGAAGTTAGAAATGGTATATTGCAAATTAAGTATGACAAGTTGCTAAGTCAAGTTAAGAATTGTTGTTTTGCACTGGCTGTATTAGTTGGAAAAATGTTTATTAATAATGACGATAAACTATCTATTTTTAAAAAAAATTTAAATAAATCAGTTGATGATATAATTACTGTAGACGAAATTAAAACATTTTATAAAGAAGCTAAATTATCAGAAGGAAGTGTTGCCATTAACCAATTAAATTTAGTTTACGAAAACTATTTAAAAAAAGATAATTTTCATTTGGTGATTTTTTCTAAAGATAAATTAGATACAATAATTTATTACTCAAGAGTGAGTAATCATGAATCCTTTCACATAAGTGATAAAATTATTTTTTTATGGTTAAATGATTCCCACTATGACTTAATCTTAAATTCTAAACTTTTTTCTAATTTAAAACTGGATTTATTTTGCTTTAAATGCATGCATTATTTAAAATTTGACGAGTATGCGGATTCTCATATTTGTAAAAATGAAGATACATGTTTAAAATGTTATTCGAGTTGTAAGAAAGAAGCAAAATTTTCTATTCAATACACGGAATGTAATATAATTTTTAAATCATCAGATTGTTTCCAGAAACATCTGTTTAATCAATTGTTTAAAAATAAGAATAGTATTAAAGTCACACCATGTCAAAAAATTTTTTTTTGTAATACATGTAATAAAATTGTCCCAAGATTTTTCTTTGTTAAAAAAAGGTTGTTTTGCATGATTGTCAAAAAACATATTGTGCACATTGTAGAAAATATTTGGACAAACAACTTAAATGTCGTATCAAACCCTTAGAATTTAATAAGTATAAGTCTACACCAACGTTATTTTTCTTTGATTTTGAAACAAAAACAGATGAAAATAATTTAATGATATCATTCTATTGTGTTGTGCAAAAAGTATGTCGTAAATGCGAGAAAATTCCTTTTCATAAAAATTTTGAGTATTTTTTACCCGATATGGATTATACTACTGATTTATCAATTGATCCTGTTGACTGTTGTGGTTATCGTCAATTTGTCTTTGATTTTAATAATTATGATGTAACATCACGATTAGCTCAGTTTATGTTAGAACAACAAAATTCTGTTTGGATTGCGCATAATGGTGGTAGATTTGACACAATATTTTATTAAAATACTTATTGACAGAAAAAAAATTTAATTCCAGAAACTGTAATGAAAGGGAATAAAATTTTATCTTTAAAAATAAAAGAAATTAATCTGCAAATTATTGATAGTTTTTCATTTTTGTCTATGAAAGTAGCAGACTTTCCAAAATCACTCGAAATTGATAATATTGTAAAAGGATATCACCCATACGAAATTTATCATTATAAAAATAAGGGTAAAATTTTCGGGAATTTGTAGACAACTTTATGAAAATGAAACAAGAAAGTAGTGGTATTCCTATGAGGATG